AGTCTGTTCAATGCTTCTCTGTCTCCATCTATTTTTGTTCATCAGTTTATGATGTTCATTATATTCCACAAATGAGTGAGATCATGTGATATTTATCTTTCTCTGACTGGCTTATTTCACTTAACATAATGCTCTCCAGTTCCATCCATGCTGTTGCAAATGGTAAGAATTCCTTCTTTTTTATAGCGGTATAGTATTCCACTGTGTAGATGTACCACAGTTTTCTAATCCACTCATCTGCTGATGGGCACTTAGGCTGTTTCCAAATCTTAACTATTGTAAATTGTGCTGCTATGAACATAGGGGTGCATATATCCTTTCTGATTGGTGTTTCTGTTTTCTTGGGATATATTCCTAGAAGTGGGATTACTGGATCAAATGGGAGTTCCATTTTTAGTTTTTTGAGGAAACGCCATACTGTTGTCCACAGTGGCTGCACCAGTCTGCATTCCCACTAGCAGTGCAAGAGGGTTCCTTTTTCTCCACATCCTCTCCAGCACTTGTCAATTGTTGATTTGTTGATGATAGCCATTCTGACAGGTGTGAGATGGTACCTCATTGTTGTTTTAATTTGCATCTCTCTGATGATTAGTGACTTTGAGTATCCTATATAATAAAAGCCCAATACGCAAATTGTCCCTTTGACCAGGAGTTTGACCAAGGGGCGGGGCCAGCCCACCAACCTCCTGCGTCCCCTCCCCCTAGCCAGCCGGACCCCACCCATGCATGAATTCGTGCACCAGGCCTCTAGTGTTTTTGTACTGTCTCTTGGCCTTCTGTATGTCCTCTTTCGAAAAGTGTCTATTTAGGTCCTTTGCCCATTTTTTGATTGGACTCTTTATCTTCCTTTTGTTAAGTTGTATGAGTTCCCTATAAATTTTGGAGATTAAACCCTTATTGGAGATAACATTAGCAAATATGTTCTCCCATATAGTGGGCTTTCTTGTTGTTTTGTTGATGGTTTCTTTTGCTATGCAGAAGCTTTTCATTTTGATGTAGTCCCATTTTTTTATTTTCTCCTTAGTTTCTATTGCCCTAGGAGCTGTATCAGTAAAGATATTACTACAACAAATGTCTGCTATTTTGTTGCCTATGGCTTCTTCTAAGATTTTTATGGTTTCCCCTTCTTACTGGTTTAAGTCCTTTATCCATTTTGAATTTATTTTTGTGTATGGTGTAAGTTGGTGGTCTAGTTTCATTTTTTTTGCATGTATCCAATTTTCCCTACACCATTTATTGAAGAGACTGTCTTGACTCCATTGTATGCTGTTGCCTCCTTTGTCAAATATTAATTGAGCATAATGGCTTGGGTCAATTTCTGTGTTCTTTGTTGTATTCCATTGATCTATATGTCTGTTCTTGTGCCAGTACCAGGCAATTTTGAGAACAGTGGCTTTGTTGTATACCTTGATATCTCGTATTGTGATCCCTCCAACTTTGTTTTTCTTCCTCAAGATTGCTGCAGCTGTTCGGGGTCTTTTTTTATTCCAGATGAATTTTTGGAGAGTTTGTTCTAGGTCTTTGAAGTATGCCATTGGTATTTTAATGGGGATTGCATTGAATTTATAGATTGCTTTGGACATTTTAATGATGTTGATTCTTCTAGTCCATGAACATGGTATATTCTTCCATTTGTTTATGTCTTCCTTTATCTCTTTTTTCAGCGTCCTGTAATTTTCTGAGTACAGGTCCTTTACCTCCTTGGTTAAATTTATTCCTAGATATCTTAATTTTTTTGTTGCAATAGTAAATGGGATTTTTTTTTTAGTTTCTCTTTCTGTGAGTTCATTATTGGTGTATAAAAAAGCCATAGGTGCCCTAACCGGTTTGGCTCAGTGGATGGGGCGTCGGCCTGCAGACTGAAGGGTCCCAGGTTCGGTTCTGGTCAAGGGCATGTATCTTGGTTGTGGGCACATCCCCAGTGGGGGGGGGGGGGTGCAGGAGGCAGCTGATCGATGTTTTTCTCTCATCTATGTTTCTAACTCTCTGTCCCTCTCCCCTTCCTCTCTGTAAAAAATCAATAAAATATATATTTTTTAAAAAGCCATAGGTTTCTAGGTGTTAATTTTGTATCCTACAACATAGCCGAATTCATTTATTAATTCTAGTAGTTTTTTTATGGAGTCTTTAGGGTTTTCTATGTACAATATCATGTCATCTGTGAATAATGACAGTTTTACTTCTTTTCCAATTTGGATACCTAAAACATATTTTTTAACAAATAAAATAAAAATGGGGTTGATGCTGCTTTACATTTTGGTGTGTAATAATTAAATCACTGTTGACTAAGCCTCTGTTTACTGACAGGGATGTGGTTAGTGGAACAGATAAAATCGTTCGCTTGGGAAGCAACAGCATTTAATATATAGAATCTCTGATCAGCTCATCTCTACCCCCACCATCTCATTGCATTGATTGCCGCCTTTTTACAGGGTTGTTCAAGTTCTCAGCTCCCTAAACAGTCCATTTCATTTTTCTCTCTCTTTAAATTTTGTTTATCTTTTAATTAGATAATACATTCTATATAGTATAAGATTCAAAAGGCCTGCAGTGAGAAGTCTCACCCCTGCCTCCAGCCACTCAGGACAGTCAGTACTACCAATCTATCACTATCTTCTACCCCCACCACCTTCTTTATGTAGAAATGGTGGCATCTATGCTGTGCATACTATTCTGTGCCTTGTTAGAGTCAGCTTAGCAATATATATTAGAAAATGTTCAATAATGAGTGGAGAATATAGTGGTAGATGTTCCTAGAATTGATGTGAAAATATAATTAAGTCTCCTGGTGATCTCTGGCCCAGCCACTCCCAAATGCTAAACATTTACACCCACCTGTGTGCCTGACAGGTGTCTCTGCTGGGTGTCCCACAGGTCACCTGTGCCATCACCACCCAGATCAAATTCCAGACCGGATCTTAAACCCTGCCTTCTCCCTACCCACGCCAGGCCTTGCCCACTGTTCCCAAGCTCCTCTGTGTTGCTGTTACCTTGTGTTACACAAACCAGAAACCAGTGTCATCCTTGACACCTCCTTCTCCTCACTCCCATCACCACACCAGCCATTGCTTCCTAAATTTCTCTCAAATCTGTCAGCTTTTCTTCATGCCCTCACCTGCCTCCCTAAGTCTAAGTAGGCCTCCTTGATCTCTCTCCTGGGTGACTTTAATAGCTTTCTAACTATCTTTAGGCTTCCACTCTTTCCTCCTGCCAATCTGTTCTCCATGAAGAATGATCTTGTAAAATCACAAAACTGATGATGTTACTTCCATGAGGGGCACCTTTGGACACCCTCCTGGCGCTCTTAGGATAAAAGTCCAACTGATAGTCACCCCTTCTCGGCCCTGTGGCCTCAGCAGGCCCATGTGCACTGTTGCAGTCCCGCTTCCCCGCCAGCTTCTCTGGCTGCTCCTCTGCCAGATGCTGTCTCAGGCCCACCTCCTCAAGCCTTCACTGTCTCCCCAGACTCGGTCGGTCCCTAGTTAAAGCTGGCACTACCTTCTTTACTGTACTTATTGGGGTTGTAATTTCCATTTATGGGAATTTAATTAAATTGGATTAATTTTTTTTTAATTCTCATCATTGATGTGACAGTTTATAAACTACGAAGGATCCTGGAATAAAAAGTAGTAATTTTTAAATTCATGTTTTTTATAAATGACGTTAAGCTATGGAGAATGTTCCACGTTTGTGAGGAAGGAGTGCCTGAGGGAATGCCTCCCTTAAGGACCCCTAGTAATCCTTTGTAGACCATTCTTCCATTCAGTTCAACAAGAACGCTCTGTGCCAGACAACACTGGGACAGTGGGTGTAGTAGGGGTTGCAGAAATTAATAAGACCCCAACAGACCCTGCCCTCAAGCAGCTCACAGTATTTTATTTTTAAAAACCCCAAGTCTAAATCTGTCTTCTGTGGGGGTTTCCAGGTGGCTCCTGGCACTTTAGAAAGCCTTATACAAATTGGTGTTGGAAGCAATGCATCCCTTTGCTTTAAGGAGAGAAAACTGTCTCTTGCTTTCTTCTAACGATCCTCCCTCTTCCACTGAGATGTCTGCAGAAATGTGCCTGCTAAGAGGAGAGAGAGCCTCTGGGAGACTGCAGGCCAAGCAAAGCCTCGTTCCCACTCCCCGTTGTGGAGCAGAACTTGTATGGGGCCTGCTCACCAGGAGCTGTCTGTGTGTCTGCTTTATCTGCAGGAAACCTGTAGGAAGTGTCAGGGACTCTGGAAAGAGCACAATGGCCTCACCTGTGAAGAGCTGGCTGAAAAAGATGACATCAAGTACCGGACGTCCATGTGAGTAGCATAATTCAGAGGGGTTGTTGACTGATTGGCAACACTTACACGTTAACCTGCCTTTTTGGCAGAGGGGCAGTGCGCATTGTGGAGAGAACAAGGTCTCAAGCTACCCCAGTCTAGAGTGATCTCGAGAAAGTGACCTAACCTCTGAGCCTCCATGTCCTCATCTCTGCAGCCTCATAGAGCTCTTCCCAGGGTCAAATGTAACATAGTAAATGCCTGGCATGTATGAATTCAGTGTATGTTGGTTCCTTATTATCTAAATAAATAAGCAATAACATATTTTAATTAGGTTAGATGGTACTGATGTTGCTTTTTAATTATTGTTTTGTTACTTCTCAGCTGAGGATATTTTTCCATTGATTTTTAGAGAGTGGAAGGGAGGGGGAGAGACAGAGAGAGAGAAACATCGACGTGAGAGAAACACATCAATTGATTGCTTCCTGCATGCACCCTGACCAGGGCCAGGGGTCATGCCTGCAAGCAAGGTACACGCCCTTGAGCGAAACTGAACCCAGGATCCTTCAGTCCACAGGCCGATGCTCTATCCACCAAGCAAAACCGGCCAGGGCTGTTTCTTTTATCTGTCATTGGTGGCCTGTGACATTGAGTAGAATGCATATTAATGCAGTCAGTAATAAGTCATTGCGGTGTAGCACTCCTTATGTGGCTGAACGCTTTACAAATATTAATTTATTAAATACATTGACTTAACAAACACAGAAGTCTATTTCTCTCATATAGTAGTTCAGCCTTGCCAGATGGTGGGGCAGAGCTGTCCCATGAGGTCATTCAGAGACACTGGTTCCTTTATCTCATTGCTTCACCATTACCTAAGGTTGGGACTTGATTGCAGCCACATTTACACTCCAGCCTGTAGGTGAGGAGAGAGAGACAAGTTGCCAGGCAGGCAGCTTTTCTTTGATTTGTAAGTGATCCAGAAAGTATACTAGTATGTATCCCTTTTGCTCATACCTGTTGGTCTAGAATGAGTCATTCGGCCATGGCCTGCTCCCAGGCAGACACCATATGTAGTCTCTAGCTGGGTGGTTTTATGTCCAGATTAAGTTTGAAGGGTAAGGAACAGGTTTTGTTACTTTACTAGTAGTTAAAAGCCTCCAAATCTGCATCACAGGTCGGTACTATTACCCTCATTTTACACATGACACAGCTGAGACACAGAGAGCCCCAGGTAACTTACCGTGGTTCCCCAGGTAGTAAGTGCATAGAGGAAATTTGAAATCTAGGCAGATGGCTTCCTGGCTGCTCTTTACCTCAGATTTGGTGGGCAGAATAATGGCCCCAACATGTCCATGCCCCAATCTCCAGAACCCGTGAACGGAATATGCTACCGCACAGGGTGAAAGGGACTTTCCAGGTGTGATGAAGGTTATGGACTTAGAGAAGGGGAGTTATTCTGGATTCTCCAGGTAAACAGTCTACTCCCATGAGCCTTAAAAGCAGAGAGAGCATCTTTCTCTGGTCAAATGGAGATGCAGTGATGGACAGAGTCAGAGAGACATGAGGACTCAGCCTCTCATTGCTGCTTTGAAGATGGAGAAAGAAGGCCATGAACAAGGAATGCAACTAGAAGCAGGGAACAACCTTCTATTTCCAGCCACCAAGGAAACAGGGACTTTGGCCCTACAGCTTCAAAGAACTGAATTCTGCTGACAGCCCAAATGAGCAGCAAGCAAATTCTCTCCTAGAGCCTCCAGTAGGTCATGCAGCCTGCCAGCTCCTTGATTTTGGACTGATAAGACCCGTGCTGGACTTCAGATCTACAGAACTATAAAATCGTACATGTGTATTATTTTTTTTAATATATTTTATTGATTTTTTACAGAGAGGAAGAGAGAGGGATAGAGAGTTAGAAACATCCATCAGCTGCCTCCTGCACACCCCCCTACTGGGGATGTGCCTGCAACCAAGGTACATGCCCTTGACCAGAATCAAACCTGGGACTCTTCAGTCCACAGGCTGACGCTGTAGCCACTGAGCCAAACTGGTCAGGGCCATGTGTATTATTTAATAAGCTAATAAATTTGTGATGACTTGTGACAGCAGCAATAGGAAACTAACATAGATTTTGGTACCAGAAGTGGAACCCTGCTGTAACAGTTACCTAAAAATGTGCACGTGGGTTTGGAATTGGGCAATGGGTAGAACCTGGAAGAATTTCGAGAATTATTATAGCAAAAAAACTTAGATTGTCTTGAACAGACCTTTAGTAGAAATATGGACATTAGAAACTCCACAATTGGAGGCTCAGAAGGAAGTGAGGAACATTCTGGGCAAAACCTAAATTGCCTTAGAGAATACTTAGATCACCATCAACAGACTGTTAGTAGAAATATGGACACTAAAGTCGCTGCTGGTGAGGACTCCGAAGGAAATGGGAACCTGTGATTGAAAACTGGAGGAAAAGGGGGCCCGGGAAAGCTGCGCCAGGGTGGGTGGGTGGTCACATTTGTGGGGCTGACTGGTACTCCGGGTGGTGGCTTCCCCGAGCCTGGCGACCTCCCTCCTTCTGCGCACAGTGGTTAAAGTGAACAGACAATGGCCAGTAATCACAAACCTTCAGCAGCAGCTCACCCTGTTTCACGAGGTGGAATTGGAAGGAAGGGCTTCTGGAATCGAATCAGGAAATATTCGAGTGGCAACTGGAAATCTTTCTGGGCTTGAGATACTCAACAAGCAATGCCTGACCTCTTCCGAACTCTGCAAATGTATTTTTCACCCAAGAAATTTCTAATTTCAACAAGGAAACCGTTCTCCTGAATAACGACGTTGGTGGGGAAGTGAGCGTATACGGACCTCATCTTGTAACGGAGGCCCAGTGTAACGCCTTGGTCATGTTCTGTGCATGACGGCAGATAGTGCGAACTGTGGCCAGTTCCTTTCCATTTCCCCACCACTTGTCAGCCCAGAGCCTCTTCTTTTTCTTTCCAAGGAGACAGAGCTCTACATTGATGTGGTTGAAGTCCCTCCGCAGGGCGTCTCAGGGTCCTTCACAATAACTGTGCGTCCCTTCGGAGTGATGTCCACATTTTCTGGGATGTCCACAGTCTGACTGCTGAGAATGGTCTTCATCCTCGCAGTAGATGCAGCAAAGAGGAAAAACTATTTGTTTTTAAAAAATTAATCCCTCTCTCAGTCTAGATAGTTTAGAAACTTTATATTTAAAAATAGGGAAACCATAAATGTACTAGAAGAAAATATAGGCAAGTATTTCATATAAACTTGGTATGGGCTAGGACTTTGTAAAATGACACAAATACCAAATACTGAAAAATACGGTGTTTTTATATTTTAATTTACAAAATTGAAAACACTATTAAAAGTTAAAAGAAAAATGACAACTTGTGTGCATGCATATAAGCCTAACCAATGGGGACAGATACCGGGGGGTGAGGGCATGAGTGGGGGGGTAAGGAGGAAATAGGAGGATAAGGACACATATGTAATACCTTAATCAAGAAAATAAATAAATAATAAAATAAAAATGACAAACTGATAAAGGAATATTTTCAATATGTCATACATAGAGTTCAGAATATTTAAGAGCTTTCTATATTAAAGCTATAAACCAAAAAAAAAAAAAAAATACTGGAGGAAAGGGAATTCTTACTATATAATGGCAGAAAGCTTAGCTAATGTGTGTCCTGCATAGTGTTGAAGAGAGGAAAATGCAAGTGGAAAGAGATAAATTGAGGGAAGAGCTACTAACAAAAAGGAACAGGATGTCATTGTTTCTGCAATTCTCATCCCATCCAGATGAGAAAAGACCCTAAAGTGGATAGGCTCACTGTCAGGAAAAGCATGCCCTAGAGAAACAAACAAGGATATGTTCAGAATGTCGAGAGTATTGTCATACAAACACAGATCCTCACAATCTAACCCAGCAGCCTTAGAAAACTAGGGCATTAACCCCTCAGCCATCTCAGCAGAAGTCAAAAATAGAGGCGGGGTTATCTAGGAATTACTTATAAATGCGCTGCATGCCTAATGGAATGAGTCCCTGTGACATCAATGGAAGACCCACAAGGTTCTTGAGAATTTGACATCAGCAGAAACACTGCCAGCTTGGACGGGAAGAGACAGGGAGTATGAAATTAAAGAAGTCTGTCAGCCCCCCAAAGTCCGACAAGCAGGAAACAGGCTGATTAAAAACTGCTCAGCTGCAAGCATATGCTACCTTTCTTTAGAAAAAGGTTGCTCAGAAAGTGGAGCCAAGAGCACAGAGCCTCAAACCACAGAGGATTATTCTTGAGTCTGAAATATGAGTTTGCCCGGCTGGATTTCCAAATTGATTGGGATTAGTGACTCCTTTTTTCCTTCCATTTTCTCCCTTTTTGAACCAGAATATCTGTAACTATTATCCTATACCTGTCCTATTGTATTTTAGGAGCAGGTAACGTGTTTCTTTAGTTTCTCAGGCCTACAAATGGAGAGAGACACATTGACTGGTTGCCTCCTGCATGCACCCTGAACAGGGGCAGGGCCGAACCTGCAACCCAGGTACATACCCTTGACCGGACATGGTTCCCCTTTGGTGCGGCATGGATGAATCTTGAAAACATGCTAAGTGAAAGAAGTAAGTCACAAAAGGGCACATCTTATATGATTCCATTTATATGAAATGTCTGTAGACATATGGATAATTGCCTGTGTACAGAATGGACAAATCCATTAGAGACAGAAAGCAGATTAGCCATTGCAGGGAAAGGGGACTGTTTAATAGATATAAAGCTGGATGGTTGCACAACTTAGGCAATATACTAAATGCTCCTGATTTGTACACTTTAAATGGTTAAAGCAGTACGTTTTTTTGTATTTTATCACAATAAAATAAAATTTGAGAAACACCTATCATAAAGAATATATGCACCCCTATGTTCATAGCAGCACAATTTACAATAGCTAAGATTTGTAAACAGCCTAAGTGCCCATCAGCAGATGAGTGGATTAAAAAACTGTGGTACATCTACACAATGGAATACTACCCTGCTGTAAAAAAAACAAAGAACTCTGACCATTTGCAACAGCATGGATGGACCTGGAGAGCATTATGCTAAGCGAAATAAGCCAGTCAGAGAAGACAAGTGTCACATGATCTCACTCATTTGTGGCATATAATGATCAACATAAACTGATGAGCCAAAATAGATCCAGAGACATAGAAGCATCAAACAGACCATCATACCTCAGAGGGAAGGCAGGAGGGTTGTATGGGGGTGGGGGTGGTAAGAGATCAACCAAAGGACTTGTATGCATGCATATAAGCATAACCAATGACCAATGGACACAGACACTAGGGGGTAAGGGCATGTGCTGGGGGGCCGGAGCAAGCGGGGAGAGATCAATGGGATAGAAAGGAGACATGTACTACTTTCAACAATAAAGAATTTAAATGGAAAAAAAAATGTACACACACTCACAAAGGAAAGTCATTTAAGATCTGAATAGTATGTGCCCACGAAATGAAGAGAGCGCCCAGAGTGAGTTCCCAGCGTATTTAAAAGTGGTGAGAAAAGAGGCATGGAATCGTAGGGTCTCTGCTGGTTATGTGGAAGAGGGAGCGAGCCTTCCTGTTTGAGCATGAGGTCAGCAGACGCAGCTGCAACTCAGTCCTCTCTTCCTGTTCTGAACAGCAACACATCCTGTGGGGCTGTTTCCTGTCTCGTTTAGAATCTAGTTGCCAAATCACCTTCCTCCCAGAACTCACTGATTTATCCCAGTTCCAGTTGCATTTTTATTGCTGGGCAGGTGGTCACCAGTCCCAGGATGGCAATCCTTTTTGGTACAAGGCCATTTTGGCCCTACCTACTACTGTTCTTCTGCAAAAGCAAAGGACTCGCTCGAATGGCTATTCATGCAGTGTTGAGTTGCATTCAACCTGTGCATATTCCTTGTCCATTTGAAGTGCCTTTTCTCCCTCACCACACCCACTGTTATTTCACATTGGTGGCTGACAGTGTGGTGAAACAGCGTAAGCAAACACACCCTCTTTCCAAACCTTCAGGAAGAACTGTGTAACCTTGGTTCTTTTCAGTCACTGCTCTCCCACACTACAGCCTACTAGCTCCCCAGGGAGTAAGTCAGCCAGCCCCAGGCAACCAGAGTGTGGTGGCTGAAAGCCACACCTCCATCTTCACGGTGCTCTGACGCAGGAAGTCTGTGCTTTAGAAAATTTCAATTGTGTTTTGGTCACAGCATTTCAAATTGGAAATTTTTTCACTAGAACCTTGTAAGCCTTAACATGAAGCATTGACAGGTGTCCTCACAGTTGCTCAGTAACAGAAATAATGAACATGTGTACTATATTATTTAGTTGACAATAATAAATGCACTGTATTTAAACTTTGTCTTCTTGACAATGTTTCCTATTCAGCAAAACTCGTTTGTTCTGTAACTTGAACTAGGTTTAAATTCTTTTCAAGCCAGAGTTCTGACTTCCTTCCTTTTGGGTCATTCAAAAATTAGACCTAAATGAATAGCAGCCAATTTCCTAACGCATTTTTCTATTTTTAAAGAATGGTCTGGCTTCTCAGGAGCATACTACCACAGCAATCTTATAAATATAAGTAATGAAAAACCCTTGCCTGCCTTGGCTCCCATGGCTACTCTGACGAAGCAGGAAACCTGAAGTAGTGGAGGATGAAGGCTGCGTTTTCTCAGCCTTAGGAGAGAGGCGCAAATCGGAACCCATCCCCAGGTGGTTACAGTCATTATGGTGCTTGGAGCAGTGGGGGCGTCCCATCTGCAGGGCTGTCCACTTTGTGGGTCCTCCATGCTCTTCCCTAGTCCCAGGAAGCGTTTTAACACCTTCCTGTCAAGATCATACTGGTAATGCCAGCCCAGCCTCTGCTCTCTACCTTCAAGGAACTCAACTTAGAGGAAGACAGACACATAAAGAATTATAGGCCATGGTAGCAAGTGTTATGAACAGAGGATCGTGGAAGTAACTAGTTCAGTAGTGGCAGCTCATGACAAAGAGCCAAGCTGTCATTTTGACCCTGGTCACCTGCCCGTCCACATCAGCTGAAACTTGTAGCCCACAGGCTTCCCGTTGAGTCACATGTGTGCCCGTCCCTCGCTGCCAGGGAGTCTGGGAATGTGGGATTCCATTGGCTATTGGATCACCCCCAACTGTGTCTATCCCACCCCCGTGCCAAATATTTAAAAGTCCAAGGTGTGAATATAACGAAGATTTAGTCTTACTGGCTTTCCATTACCCAGCTCTGTATATATAAAACACATTATTTCAGAAAACCCTGAGTTTTTCTCTCCATTTTAAGACTACAGAGACTCCTATAACAAATAGATTGTCATTTTCTAAGTGCTTTGTGCCAGGCACTGTGCCAGGGTACTTTGTATTTTGCCTGAAATCCTCAAAACACTATGAGAAAGCTGTGTTTTCCCAATTTAAAAATGAGGAAACTGAGTCTCCAATTGAGTAATTTACTGAAGGTTGACAACTGATCGACAGAACCCCAGTTCTCAGGTCCAAAACATAGGCTCTTTTCTCTCTTTGAATGTCACCAAAAGGGATAGGCCAGTGGTCGGCAAAGTGTGGCTCTTCCACAAAATACCACACGTGGGCGCGCACGTACAGTGCGATTGAAACTTCGTGGCCCATGCGCAGAAGTCGGTATTTTGTGGAAGAGCCACACTCAAGGGGCCAAAGAGCCACATGTGGCTCGCGAGCCACGGTTTGCCGACCACGGGGCTAGGCAATCATACAGAATAGCCATATTCTTCTCTCTTCTTCGTCTTCCCTGCTGTCTCCAATCGTGTGTTTTTGTTTTGGTTTTCAGTGAAGAGAAAATGACTGCTGCTCGCATTAGAAAATGCCATAAATGTGGGACGGGCCTCATCAAATCCGAAGGCTGCAACCGCATGTCTTGCCGCTGCGGAGCCCAAATGTGCTACCTCTGTCGAGTATCCATCAATGGGTATGACCATTTCTGCCAGCATCCTCGCTCTCCAGGAGCCCCCTGCCAGGAGTGTTCAAGATGTTCTCTCTGGACCGACCCCACTGTAAGTGAATGCCTGGCTGCCTATTGCACTGTAGGGGGAATATCAGTAAGATGATATAATGAAGTAAGGTGATATATCGTGACATGTTGTGACCTGTGAAAAGATAGGAAATACATAGACCGATAACCACAGGAAAAAATTGAGTAATAAAAAAGCTACTCCTCAGAAACCAGCATGCCCAAACAGTTTATGAGCAAATTTTTCAAACCTTTAGAGAATAAAATTTTTTATGCCATCTGAAATGTTTCAGAGCATAGAAAAGTAAGGAAAGTTTTACATAATATTTGAATAAAACCTGCATAATGCTGATACCAACACGTGACAGAGATAACCCCAAAAAAGAAAACTGCAGATCAGTTCTACATGTGACTATAGGTTTTCAATTCTCTAAATAAAATACCAGCAAATAAAAACCATGACCAAGTAAGATTGTTCCAGAAATGCAAGATGGTTCAATATTATGACCTCTTAATAAAATTCACCGTATAATAGCTTTAGATGGTAAAGACATTGAATTAAAATCAGATAGCCAGTCTTGATTTTGAGCTTTAAAAAAATAGTGTTAGAAGGATGCTTTACTTAATATTATATTTTTTAAAGTCCATAGTTCAAAGCAGTCAATATTAGCATGTATTTAATAATGAAATACATAGACACATTCCCAAAAAGTCAAATGTAAGACTATCACCACTATTTTATTCTGGAACTGCTTGTCAGTACAATTAGCTAAGAGAATTTTAAAAAAGGTACAGGTATTGGAGAAGATAATTGCTAATGTTTATTAGGCACCCACATGTGTCAGACTCTGTTGTAAGCACTTTGATGTGTAGAGAAGAAAAGCAGATCCACCATGTTAGACCTGAGAAAAGACGAAATAATCAACTTGAAGGCTATTAGAAGCAGCAGATGGCTAGATACAAAATAAGTACACAGAATGCCACTCGGCAGCAATATAAATCATCAAATACCCTAGAAATGAACTTTAGTTAGAAATGTGAGGAAAACCGTATCGAAGGACAAGAAAGAGATTTGAACATATGGACAAATGTGCTCTGTTCTTAAATAGTTTTATATTAGAAATATCAGTTCTTCTTAAAATAGTTTTAAATTTGAAACTATCACAGTCCTTTGTAAGTTGATCTATAAGGATAGCAATGTGACATGTGAGAAGGCTTGTTCTACCGAAAAGTGATTCAGCCTAACAGTGAGTACCTGCTGGCTGGGCAAATGAAAAGCCTTGAGGAAGGGCACCAAAGCCCATGGGGGTGCCCAGTGACAGCCAGTCACTCCTCAGCTTTCACCTGAGACAAGTGAAGATGACCTGGATGATGGAGAAGCATCTTGTCCCTCAAATAGGAGACTTGGTGTTTATAGAGAGATTAGTTATCTCCAAAGTCGTTTAGAAGTTCACTGCAATTCCCATTTAAATTCAGTAGGATTTTTCCCTGAAAAATTACCTATCATTTTGAAAATAAGACTAATTTTTACTATTAAGCTAAACTAATTAAAACCATATAGGCTGCCCTGGTTGGTTTGGCTCAGTGGATAGAGCATCGGCCTGTGGACGGAAGGGGGTCCCAGGTTCAATTCTGATCAGAGGCACATGCCCAGGTTGCGGCATGATCCCCAGTAGGGGGCATGCAGGAGGCAGCCAATCTCTCTCCTCATTGATGTTTCTCTCTCTCCCTCTCCCTTCCTCTCTAAAATCAATAAAAATATACTTTTTAAAAAAAAACAACCATATAGGCTGATAAAAGAATAGGCAGCTAGATCAAAGGAACAAAATAGATACCAGAAATAGACCCATACGAGTTTAATGTGAAAAAAATACCATTTCAGTTCACTAGGAAAATGATAGATTCATTCTTAACTATTCAGTGTTGCCAGGACTAGTTTGACAGAAAAGCCTCGTCCTCATGAAGTTTACAGCCTAAAACAAGAATCCTTCATGTAGTGGGTGCTGTGTAGGAATAATGAGAGTAGCGTGATAGGGAAGGACAGGAGCTGGAGGAGGCGGCCAACCTCAGAGTGATCTGAGAGACCTGTGTGGGGAGGAGGAGAAGCAGCAAGGTAGGCCAAGGAAATAAAACAGATTTAGCCTGTTTGGGGACCAACAGTAGCCAGTGTGGCTTGCAGGTGGTGAGCTAAGGAAGGAACGTAAGAGAGGTGGGCAAAGAACCAGGCTGTGGATGGGTCTCACCGAGTGTGGTGGGTGCTGTTGCCGGACTTATGTAGGAGAGTGACTTGGCCTGATTTAAGTTTTCAAGGTCACACTGGCTATCATGTGGATTGAGAAACAAGGGGAAATTGTAACATATATGTGATATAGATAATTTAATATGTTAATATCTAAGGAGTAATGTGACTCAATAAGAAATCAGTAAAGCCCAGCTGGCGTAGCTCAGTGGTTGAGCATCGACCTATGAACCAGGAGGTCTTGGTTTGATTCCTTGTCAGGGCACATGCCTGGGTTGTGGGCTCCTTCCCCAGTGTGGAGTATGCAGGAGGTAGCCAATGATCCTCCCTCATCATTTATGTTTCTTTCTCTCTCTCTCTCTCTCTCTCTCTCTCTCTCTCTCTCTCTCCCTCTCCCTCTCCCTCCCTCCCTCCCTCCCTCCCTCTCCCTCTCCCTCTCCCTCTCCCTCTTCCTCTCCCTCTCCTTCTCTCCCTCTCTCCCTCTCCTCCCTTCCTCTCTCAAATCAGTGATTATATATATTTTTTTTATTTTTTTTTTAAGAAATCAGTAAAAACCCCTATTTTAAAATAAGGATTAATTTGTCTGAATATCAGAAAGTCCCAAAATAGCAGTGTCTTCTACAAGATAAAGGTCTATTTCTCCCTCATGTAAGTAACAGTGGTGGACAGCCCAGGGGTCAGATGCTCACATTAATATAGTATACAGCTATAAAAAGCAATGCTATTTATCTATTTTAAAACATGGAGGTGTGGGAGGAAGCATGGGAAGATTTACACATAAAATACAAACAGCATGCAGCTGGGGGTCACGACCCAAGTTACCACAGGGGCGAATAGTAATAGAAGTGATTGGTGAGCATTGAGTAGGCCAGGTCTAGGGGACAGGAGGGTGTGGTAGGGACTGCGGCAAACAGGAGAAGGTGTGGGCTGCTACTCAGCTCCCACAGCTTGTTGCCAGATGAGATGATATTCAGTTACCATGGCTGCAAATTTTCCAAAGAGGCTAGAAATATGTATTTTAATGTGAACTCTCCCAATTTTTAAAGATTGGGTTATTAATCCAAGGATCTTTAAAACACAGTTCAGCCCTGGCCATGTGGCTCAGTTGCTTGAGTGTTGTCCCATGCACCAAAGGGTCTCCACTTTGATTCCTAGTCAGGGCACAAAGCTGGGTTGAGGGTTCAATCCCCTGTCAGGGCATGGACTGGAGGCAACCAAGTAATATTTCAATCTCTCCCTCCCTCTGTCTCTAAATCAATAAAAAACATTTTTTTTTTTAATATACAGTTCAGCACGACTGGTGTGGCTCAGTTGGTTGGAGCATCATCCTGTGTACCAGGAGGTGGCAGGTTCAATTCCCGGTCAGGGCACATACCTAGGTTGCAGGTTCAATGCCCAGTCAGGGTAGGTGCAGGATGCAACTGATAGATGTTTCTCTCTCCCATCAATGTTTCTCTCTCTCTCCCTTCCTCTCTCAAATCAATTTTTTAAAATAAAATAAAAAAAGAAAGACTTATAAGCCCTAGCCAGTTTTGCTCAGTGGTTAGAGCATCGGCCTTCGGACCAAAAGGTTACAGGTTCTGTTCTGATCAAGGATACGTACCTCGATTGCAGGCTCTATCCCTGGCCCTAGTTGGGCACATGCAGGAGGCAACCAGTTGATGTGTCTCTCTCACATCAGTGTTTCTTTCTCTCAGTCTCTCCTCTCCTCCTTTCCACTCTCTAAAAATCAGTGAGAAAAAATATATCCTTGGGTGAGGATTAACAAAAATAATTTTTTTAAATACACAGTTCAAGCCAGTATTTTATAAGCCAAAGAAAAGGTCTTTGCCCTGGTGCAGAGCAGCGTGGATGTGCCTGACAAGAGGTGTCGGGATAACCGGGCTGCGGGCCACAGAGCCACCGACTTTGAAAAGCAGTGAGTCCTCTGGAAACCAGGCACCTGCGTGTGAGGAACAACCTCCTCACTGGTCAGAACGTTGGGGCGAGGCCCCAGGAACTGCTCTTATCCGACAGCTCTGTGACCCCATAAGGCTTATTAGTACCCCCCCTGCCCTCCCCATCGCTGAGGAAAAACCATGAAAGAAAGGGGAGGTTTAGTAAAGAGAGGAGCCGTCCTTCTGTGGTCGGTGTGTGGAGGGAGGGGCGGTGCAGCGGGAGCACTGGGCAAGGTGAGCCATGCTGCTTTGGGGACAGAACTTCAGGTCGTGGCCATTCTGCTGACTCCCTCCTCTGCCCCATCCAAGTAGCCACGGGGGCTGAGCATCTCTAGGAACGAGGTGGGGAAACAGGATCCTTTTTCTTCAGCTGCAGCTCCTGAGAAGTCCTCCTCCCCCCGCCCCATCTTGTCTCTAGAAACAAAGAGCAGAGTGGGAGGACCAGCGGGCGGATGCCACAGGCTGGCCTATTCTTAGTGCTGGTTTTCTTTCTTCTCCTTCTCCCGGTTCTTAGTCCCTCTCCTGCCATCTCCTTTCTTCCCACGCGTGGAATCGATGATAAAGGTTTCTCCTGTTCTGTTACCTTGTTTGGGTGCCATAGCATGCGGCTGCCCCCTTGTTTTCTTGTTGAGTTGTCTTCTACTCTGAGAAAGGTTCTGGATTTGCTTAAAATAAGCTGGGAAGGAAGGTCGGGCACCTACAAACCCCTTCGGTTTCCTCTGGTAGCCACAGCCAGAGATTTTGTTCTTCGTGTCCCGTTCCCATCAAAACTGGGATCAGCCCGTTTCCTTAATTCTCACCAGGAGACCGATTGAATTCCAACCCAGCATCTGTTGGGGCTTCTGAGAACACAAAGCCATTCAGAAG